ATAGGAAAAGCGACATATCTTACATCCCTTCAGCTAGCCAGGGAACCCGTTTCGGCTGCGGATGTAGTGGGATACTGTCTCAGCTTCTGATGCGCCGGTATCCCAAAGCCCATTGGTGAGGTCCAAATTGCTGTGCTCTGGTGCAGCTTTAAATACTGTGTTTCTACCTTGTTTGTGGCAGTTTGGAAATTTCCAGGGGTTACTCATTGCTTGTTACAGTATGGCTCAGCTATACTGCTTGTCCTTTGACTTTGTTTACATGATCAGTACATTTAGGTATAACAAGATTGTTATGTTCAAGCCCTTATCTACAATTTGTTCTTGCTACAATGGCGTATGGTCCTAGAGGCTTGCTTCTGGCTCATCAGTAGTAGGGAAGGAGGGGGAATGGGAAAAAGGGGAGGGGGGGAATGCAGGCCTCACCACCCCTATACTTCACACATACAGAGTTCTTCTGCAATTGACCCCTACAGGCCCTCCATTGTTCTGTCCCTTCTGTTGAGTGACAATGGCAGGTGGACTCTACTCTTCTCAGTAGACTAGAACAGCAGTATGAGTCTCCCAAGAGCAATAGGTCTTGGAGTTAAAATGAGATCATTGAGATACATGGTACAGTTCTCACTTCTGAGAACTGTTGTTTCTTGCTGTTTGCAGACTCACACAGACATCACTGTATTAGTTATACTCTGTTATGCTTAATTATATATTTTCAACCAAGGATGAAAAAAATAGGGTTTTGGCATGAGTTCTGCTGGAAGCACAAAAATCAAGAGTAGCAATTTATTGATGCAACTATTATTATCTGTTATATTTTTGGGGTGGGTGAAAGGGAAACAACAGCAGCACTACTAGCAATAGTAATACAAATATGATATTTCTTTTTAGCCAACTTTTAAAAGTATGGACTTGCTAATGCTAAAGCATTTATTCTTAATTATGGGGAAGTTTAAATCTGGATATAAAATTCACAGTTCAGCCCTATCTCTATATTGGAGCACACAAGTTTGGAATAGATTTCAGCCTGAAAATACATGCTCCAGATATATTTAATCCTTGGAGTTATAATAAAATATTGCACCTGAAAACACCAGTGTAGTGTGCCAAAAATAAATAAATAAATTTTAAGGTTGTAATTATCTTTCTTGAAGAATAGCTAGCCAAAAACTCAAAAAGTAATAGCAAAATGTTTTTTAAGTACTTCAGAAGCAGGAAGCTGGCTAAAAAACCAGTGGGGGCCTTTGGACGATCGAGATGCTAAAGGAGCACTCAAAGATAATAAAGAAATTGCGAGAAGCGAAATGAATTTTTGGCTTCTATCTTCATGACTAAGGATATTGGGGAGATTCCCAAACCTGAGCCATTCTTTTTAGGTGACAACTCTGAGGAATTGTCCCAGATTGAGGAGTTATTAGAGGAGGTTTTGAAACAAATTAATAAACGTAACAGTAAGAAATCACCAGGACCAGATGGCATTCACCCAAGAGTTCTGAAAGAACTCAAATGTGAAATGGTGGAACTATTAACTGGTTTGTAACCTATCCTTTAAATCAGCTTCTGTACCTAATAACTGGAAGATAGCTAACTTGATGCCAATATTTAAATAGGGCTCTAGAAGTGATCCTGGCAATTACAGACCAGTAAGTCTAACATCAATACCAGGCAAATTAGTTGAAACTACATTAAAGAATAAACTTGTCAGGCACATAGGGGAACACAATTTGTTAGGGGAAAATCAGCATGGTTTCTGTAAAGGGAAATCATGTGTTACTAATCTGCTAGAGTTCTTTGAGAGGGTCAACAACCACGTGGACAAGGGGAATCAAGTGAATATAGTATACTAAGATTTCCAGAAAGCCTTTGACAAGGTCCCTCACCAAAGGCTCTTAAATAAAGTAAATTGTTCTGGGATAAGATGGAATGTCCTTTCGTGAATTGATAATGGATTAAAAGACAGGAAACAAAGGGTAGGAATAAATGGTAAGTTTTCAGAGTGGAGAAGAATAACTAGTGGTGTCCCCCTAGGGTCTTTCCTGGGACCAATCCTATTCAACTTGTTTATAAATGATCTAGAGAAAGGTGTAAACAGTGAGGTAGCAAAATTTGCAGATAATACCAAACTGTTCAAGATAGTTAAGACCATAGCAGACTGTGAAGAGTTTCAAAAAGATCTCACCAAACTAAGTGACTGGGCAACAAAGCGGGAAATGAAATGTAATGTTGATAAATGTAAAGTAATGCACATTGGAAAGAAATAATCCTAACTATACATGCCACATGATGGGAACTAATTTGGCTACAACTGCTCAAAAGAAAGATCTTGCAGGGGCAGTCAAAAAAGCCAATAGATTATTAAGAATCATTTAAAAAGGGATTGAGAATAAGGCAGAAAATATCTGTATAAAACCATGGTACACCCACATCTTGAATACTGCGTACAGATGTGGTCGCCTCATCTCAAAAAATATATATAGGCATTGGAAAAGGCTCAGAAAAGGGCAACAAAAATTATTAGGGATTTGGAACGGGTTCCATATGAAGAGAGATTGAAAAGACTTGGATTTTTCAACTTAGAAAAAGAGGAGACTAAGGGGGGATATGATAGAGGTCTATAAAATCATGACTGTTGTGGAAAAAGTAAATAAGGAAATGTTATTTATTTATTCCTACAATATAAGAAGTTGGGGTCACGGAGTGAAATTAATAGGCAGCAGGTTTAAAACAAAGAAGAGCATTTTTTCATCACTCAGTGCTCAGTCAACCTGTTGAACTCCTTGCTAGAGATGTGGTGAAGGCTAGGACTTTAACAGAGTTCAAAAAAGAGCTAGATAGATTAATGTAGGTTAAGTCCATCAATGGCTAGTAGCCAGGATGGGTAGGAATGGTGTCCCTAGCCTCTGTTTGTCTGGAAATTGGTGACAGGGAAGGGATCATGTGTGGATTACTTGTTGTGTTCCTTCCTTCTGGAGAATCTGGTATTGGCCACTTTAGGCAGACAGGATACTAGGCTAGATGGACCGTTGATCTGACCCCATATGGCCATTCTTATATTCTTATTAAATCCAAACACTCCCAAGCTGCGACATTTGGATTCTTAGCTGAACTTCAATCATCTCTGCTTCGAAGGGATCTACTGCTTCTTTTAGCTGAACCTTCTGTGATCTGATTGGCTGCTTTCCTGCTCCTTTCCTGAATCTGTTAGGACCGTGAGTCCTATAACAGGGGACTCAAAGGACCTGGTACACCACATTATGCACAGTTTAATCGTTATTTGAAATGTTACGTTCCAAATGTTATAACAAAAATCTTAAATATTTTTAAAAACTATGATTGAATAAAAGAAATGAAAACTATCATACAGTCTTCTGTAGTCTGGCTTCATGCTCAAGCAGGGTTCTCTGCTTGATGTGACATGATTATATGTTTCAAGCTCTAGCCATTGAAAATAAAATGTTCAATTTCTGGAAAAAATAACTGTTGTATGAGTGTGATGCTTGCTGATATTTGTTCAATGACAGTTTGACTTGTTTTCAAACCCCACATATTTAGGGTTGTGGAGAGTTAGATTGATGTCTCTTTTCACTCAAATGTCATATTCATTAGCTGTATTGTGCAAGCAGAGTGTTAAACTGACAAGGTGACTTGCGATGTGACAGTATATTGATGTGATGTCCCAAACCATTAATATATGGTAAAAGGGGTGTTTCTTGATTTGCTCAATCAATTTGTTGCAACACAATGTTTTTGTCTGCTAAAAATGTATTCTGAATTAAAACTTTTAGCTAGAATATGCCCCACCTACATTAGCTAATAGTGAAATCTGGAGTTCAGTTGTTACTTTGTAATATGATATATGCAAATGAGAAATACCAAAGGACTATGAGGAAGGAACTCCAGTAACAAAAGCTGATTTTTAATATGGGGACTGAACTTCCTGATATTTAGTTTTAGACAATATTGTCAACACTAAAAAATGACATCGTTTGGAAGATGTTACTGTGTAAAATAAATATATGTTATAAAGAAAAATTGGCATATGTCTTAAGGCCTTCTTGTATGTTTCGCCATTATTCCCGATAAGATGCAGCATTTACTTTAGAGAAAACAAGAAAAGTTTAAAATGGTATTTTATGTAAGGTAAAAAATTAAAAAAGAATGTTAATGTTTGCAAACAATGGTTAAGTTGCATGCATCATAATGTTACTTTAAAAAGTTTCATCTACAGTATGTTGCATCTTATCTTCCTTTGGAATCAAATCAGAGAAAGACAAAAAAGGAAAAGCAACCACTACTATCTGCCAAGATGTTTACTAAGTGACTATCTTATGGATTATGCTGAGTTCAGTGTTGATGATTCTTTGATTATGATATCTACCATAATCTGATCAGTACAGGAAATGTATTATGTTATAATACTTGTAATTACAAGTATTTGTAATACTTTCAAAGGGTCGTAATCAAGAGCAAGGAATAAAATACAATAGAACTTTGCTTGATGGAGAAATCAAGTTTTCAGGTAATTGCTACTGCAGAAAACTGCCCAAAGATGGAAATAGGGGATTTCTCTGATGTGGCTGGTTTTACATCACTTGCTCCTTTTCTTTCTCTTCCACCCACTCTGATGCAATGTTTAGAAATGGTACAGGAGCGCCAATGCAGCTTATTTGGTGATCCTTGTCTGGCACAGTGATCCAATGTAAGGAGACTTTTCTGGTTCTTGTAGTTCAGAGTAACCTTTTGATTTGTCTTTTGAGCTCCCAGCCTATTCCACAATTGGAGAAACAGAAAAGTAGCTTTACACTATCTTTTCTCCCATTCACTGCTGGATTCAGGGATCTTGGTCCTTAAAAGAGGAGGTGACGCAATTAGGTTCTTATGTGTCATGACAAATAATAAAACTGATTTTATAAAGCGTTTGATATAATTTAGTATTATCATAAGCATATTTTACATAACATCTGCAAATAAATAAAATACATTTTATGACTTTTTTGTTTGGACAGCTACCCAAGAATACCTCAGAAAAGGAAGGAACTTCTGTTTAACATTGTATCAACTCAAATGTCTTTCTCAGCTTATACAACTCTTTTTGTCGATGGAAAAAAGAATTGAAGAACTTTCTGCAGAAATTCTCTCATTGCCTTGTTTCACTGAAAAGAACAAAACTGTTCAAGGTAATATGTAATTCCAAATTAAATTAAATTTGCAGGATTATAAAAATAAATTGCTGTATGCTTGCATTCCGTGAGATACATTGGATAGCAGCAGTCGTGCTCAGTATCTCATCACCAAGCTGTGGGCTGGGAAGAAATGTATTCTGGGAGTATGGTCTTAAGAACACTAAAATGAAGAAGCATGGAAAAAAGAACTTGTGAATGGAATAGAGCAATGAATTCTTAACCTGAAACTGCTCGACATTATGTCAGTAAAATAAAAAAATGGAAGCATTTTGTATTGCAAAATACTAAATTAACCTGGATGTATTTTTAGATGATGTATTGAAGTTCACTTACAAATGATATTCAAAGCCCTCTATTTTTGCTATTGATTTCAATGTGGAATGAGGTTTTTTTCCCACTTAATCTATCATACTTTCTCCCTGATATTAGGAAATGTTTCATCTTAACTACATTAATTGTCAGTAATATAGTTTCTGTTCTGTTGGATACAAATATATTTAATCTAAGAAACTCTGAAAATGGGAAGACAACATGATTATGTTTAACAAAATTTTGTCCAGGAACACCTTTTCTCTAGTTATTTAGAATAATATATATTTTGATAGAAGGAATGTTAACAAGGAAATGTTCAGCTTTCTACAAGGCATATTTAGGCTGTGACCCTGTAAACACTTATGCATGACCTTACCTTTACATAAAATGGTTGATGCTGAATGGTTTGAACTTTCCCTTTCCTGAATTTGTCTATGCTGACATTGTCTCTGAAGTGGTGGCTCTAGCTTCCATTTCTGAGCAGATGAGTGTCATTAAATCAGCTGCAATGTCAGCTTCCTGGGTTGGGAGGCGCCTCTGGTTCCAAAGGAAGTGCAAAATTTAACAAATGTGATGATATATTTATTACAGAGTAGGGCAATGTAACTGGCTAGCACACCTTCATTTTCAGACTTGCTATTTGAAGGTGATCTGGATTTAGTCATAAAATCGTGCTGGAGTACATGAATTACTAGAAAGAAATATGAAGTGCCAGCATGGCCAGTGAAATAAGAAAACAGTGTTTGTGAAGTAAAATATTAGTTGGCATTATCTGTACTTTGTATTGCAAGACATTTCCACTAATGGCTACCTAAAAGATAATTTGATATGGGAGAATGAGAACTATATTTGCAGTTGTTTCAGCTTTTGCCAAGAATCCAGACAGGAAATAAGATATTGTCTTTCAGTGTCCTATATTATCCTGATTAATCTTGATCATTGTCTCACTGATAAAGTCTTGACTAGAAGGACTGCTTAAACATGCCTAACAAGAATACTTTATTTTAGGTTGGGAGATGTCCTACTTGTGGTATAGGACTTAGGAAAACTTACAGCCATCTTGTACACTTTTCTGGAAGTATCTTCTTTCCTACTAAAGGGCTTAGAATAGAATTTGTGTATTAGTTCACTGAGAGTTTACTCTAGCTCTTTAGGTAATTTGGGAATTGTGCAATAAATAATGAATATCCCAATGATGTGATGTTTTCCCAGACACCAAATTGAGTGAGGCACTACACATGTTTCTTTTTCCTCTTGACTATCATTCATGGCCCTTATTAGCCTTGTATTTAAGTCATGTCAGGAAGTAACTGAACATTTTTTGGCTGTTGCAATAACAAGTTCAGCTGTTCTTTGTTCAGAATATCACATGGGAACCTCAGCTTTGATATTTAGAACATTTGTAAAGTTCCATCAGAAATAAAGTAGTTCTTTGGACGGTTTGGCAAAAAAAAATGAGAAAGGTGGTATCTGAGTTTTATCTAAACCAGAAGGATTCTTGGCCCTCATTTTTCCCTAGACCCAGCAATGACAAAGAGCAATGGCTGCATAAATTGGATGTAAGAAGAACACTTAGGGTTTATCTCAGAAGAATCAAAGATTTCAGATCTTCTGACAGATTGTTTGTACTCTTAGGGGGTCTTAAGAGGGGTCAAATGGCTTCTAAGAGTTCCTTAGCTAGATGGTTAAGGGATTGTATTAGGGAGGCGTATATAGTTAAGGGTAAAGAGGCTCCCAGGGTTTGTAAAGCTCATTACACTAGTACTATAGCTGCTTCTTGGGCGGAGAGGTCGAAGGCTTCCCCATCGGAAATTTGCAAGGTGGCCACCTGGGCTTCTCTTCATACTTTTTCATAGCATTATTGCTTGGATGTAGTCTCTTCTGCAGATTCTGCTTTGGTAGGAGGTTGCTTGTGAACCAAAAAAGAACAGTGAGGAAAAGAAATACAAGTAGTTCATGCTTCTAGCTGCCAACAAGAGTAGTTTCTTTACAGAGTGCACAATGGAAACCTCAGAAGATCAATTTAGGCAATTGAAAATAGATGTTACAGGGAAGTACTTCCCACCAGTACTCTCTGATAGTAACCCCATGGCAGACAATAGCACCAAGAGACACACTTGAACCAAAGTGAACTCTGTAGGGAGATGACTGTAGCAATTGCACTGAGACGATCTAGACAGTTTTGTGAATTCAGTGTGAGAGTTCTATATCTGGAATTATCTGTATTCAATAGGTTAAATCCCCCAAATTGTTTCAAATTGATGAACAAAAATGATCTATATATTGAATTTTCTAGTATAATTTATTTTCAGTATGCATTTTACATTTTTCATAGATTTACTTCTTCACTGCTTTATTTTCAAATAGTGCAAAAGAAAGTGTTCCTCACTGAGGACTACATACATATCGTGTTTTAAGCTCAAATCCAAAATATACTTAAATTACCCAAGCATAAATAAGGAATCTGAAAAATGATTTAATAGCTATAAATACTTGATTCATGCACAGACAACTCAACATTTTTCATTTTAAATTCGCTAAACAGTATACCTTTGAGAGGCAAAAAAGCATGAGAAATTTCTGCCACAAAGAATTTTGGGAGGAAAGTTACTTTCAGAAACCACTGAAAATAAAACGTGAAAGCACTTTGTGCATCAAATTGTAGTCTATTACAAGAACTTGTCTACATTTCTTATCCTGTTGAGAAAAGAAGGAGGATTTTTTCTAGCAGCTGCAGAATATATATTCACTGTTCCATGGATCTGCCCTTCCTGCCTACATTAGTATTATGGTGTCAGGAAAATGTAGGCCATCAGAGTTCTCTAGCATGGGCTGGATATAATTAACCCTTTAATTGCTGGTCTTTCATCACACATGTTCTCATCTATTTACATTCCATTGGAATCACTGCAGTGTTCAGACATACCTAGTACATTCAGCATCACAAGAGATGTGTTCTGTTTGAAGGAACCTGGAACATTCAGTAGCATTCAGGGAAAAGTACGAGATCCTTATTTAGACTGAAGAATACACTGACAAATTGCATTTTTCTTCCATCTTTAAGATGTGTTTTCTCTCTTCCTCTGATTTTCAGAAGACTCTTGTTGAGACTTTTAAAAAATCAAAAGCATCTAACACACTTTCATCTTTCTCTCACCTTTTTTCCATTCCAGTGAGAAAGGTGAACTTTGGACAGATCTGATAATGAGTGCCAAGAAAAAGCTTTTTCCAGTGGAGCTCTTTGAAACACCCTGGACAAAGTTGTCAAGCCCTTAGGTTTACAAGCTTTGCCTCAGGGGACCAAAAAGATTTGCAAAGGTCTTCCTTTCACAGCTTAAGAAGAAATTTTTTACTTTACATCCATTTCTAGAAAGCATAATAAAAGGAAAAGAGGATCAAATTTACAAAGTTCATCATATTCATAGACAGCTTTTGAAGTTGTACAGACTTCAGCAAGACTAATATGATCTTTGCTTTGGTCCCAAAGGTAGATGCAGCTATAGCTTCTGTAGTAAATATTTTTTTCCAAAAGAACATACTGACAGGAAGATGGAATTTCCACTTAGAAAGACATATGAGTTTTACTTTCAGATGTATATTTTCTCTGTTTGGTTTGCTAGAACAAATTAGAAGTCTGTAATGGAACACACAGTCTAAGAGGACTTCGAATCTATGATTAGTAAAACATGTTAAGCTTTTCTTTCTTTATTAATAATGTTTCTGTTGGTATTTTTCATTTTCTTTAGAATCTATTATCTCTAGTGGAGTTAAAAATCCTGCCTGAATCCATATAAAAAAGATGGACAATTGAACCTGTGGGTACCTTTGATTATAGTATTATTTACCTTACTAACAATTATAGTATTTTGAAAAGTCATAGAAAAATCTTGGTTGTGAAATTCTATGATGTGTTATGCAGGATGTCAAAGTAAGTGATCATAATGGTCCTACTGCCATTAAAATCTACCCTGAAAGACTGGGAAAAACCTAGGTAATTTATAAATCTTCATTTCATTCCTTTCTTTTTCTTTTTGAACAGTCTAGTAAATCTAACCTTTATCCTCAGTACAATAATGGGACAAATGAGAGAACATATAGCTAAACCTCTAGGACTTAATGAAACAAATAAGTAGCTTAGTTTTATAAAAAGCAGGTCATACCGAAAAAGGTCATGGCTTTTTTATAATAGAATTATAAAGTTGATGGCTGAAGAGAGTTTGGATTTAAGTATCTCATTTGATACAATGTTTTTCGAAGGTTATCTCAAAATAATTCAACTTGGTTTGCATGTGAAAACTGTCATGTGGTGAAGGACTTTACACAAAGAGTTATGATAAACAGATAAATATCAAACTTAGGGAACCTGTTTAAAAGATGGTGGAAGGATCTCTGTTAAATTCAGTCTTTAGTAATGAGCTAGTCAAAGGAGAATACAAAAATTGGCTGGGATTGGTGGAGAGGGGCACCTGGGTCTGGAGAAGGTTTAATCTGTAATAGTATGATCTTAGAGGAAGAAACCCCAAAAGACTTAATTTTGATAGTGGTATGTAATTTGCACATATGTAAGTTTGTAAGTCTGTATGTAAATTTTTATCTATGTCAGCAATTCTGGAATATTTATGCAAACAAATCAGATTTCAAGCAATTGGCCCTCACTGCACAGCTCTGCTATAGTCCAAAGGCAGATTCTTAACTAGTGTAAACTGTCATAGTTCCATAAAACTGTCATCTGGCTGCCATGACAGTTTACACTAGTTGAAGAGCTGCTACTTCAAAATGTTGTGTTTGCTTCTGGTCAGTGGTGGGAGTTCTGAAAAGGACAATGTAAGTGGAGACTACTCAGTTTGACTTTTTGTTAAAAGATTAAAAGAGTGAATTATATATATTGCTTGCTGGAGTCATGACAATAAGAGAATGTAAGTCTTCTGACACTGAAAGTGTGTCTACAGTATGATTAGATGAATATCTAACATATTAAGAGGAAGTACACATTTTCTTTCTCAGTGTCAGCTCATTATTCCTAGGTAGACTGGATATCCCAAGAAACATCCTGAGATGAAACTCTTAACAATCTGGAACAATCTTTCAAGGAAAGCATTGGAAGCTCCATCACATACTGTATTTAAAAATAAGCTGAATTAAATGCATAACAGAAAACTACTTGCAGCACTGGGAAGATGGTGAAGCAGGTGGCATGGTTCCTGTTGTCCATCTTTCTAATCTGCCAATTTAACTTTTCATATTTCTACAAATAAAAATCTATTTTCCCCTGGAACTAGTTTTGTTAACACAACCCAAGACAGTACTTGAGGAAGTCATTCTCATCCATGCAACGTTGTTTAAGAGCATATGCAAGATGCCCTCCTTCAAAGGATATACCATCTACAGAAAAAGAAAAATCCATTTTAGACAAATGAGTCTAAGAATCTCAACTAATTAGATATTTTCTTCAACAGAAAAGTTTTCCCCAAACTTGAAGCACATATTTTTCCATTGCTTTTAAGCTGCAGAAGACCTTTTTTGTATATGCTCTTAACAACACTATTTAGCTATGATTGAGAGCATCTTTCATATCAGTTAGAGCTCTTTTTTTCTTGTCTTTAATTTCACATGAGATATAGTAAATTAGTAATCCCATGTTGGATGTAAGTTGCATATTAAGAAAGGGAAGGATGTTGAAATTATCAATTAATTTGCTTTGTTTACTTGTTCAGGACTGGTAGTATGTTTAGTGCTGCTCAGAACCTTCAGATGAAGCCAACTCTAGCCCTGGGGAAGCTGGTGCTGGCTGCCTGACAGCTTGATCTGGGACAGCACCACAGCCTGCCTCCAGCTCCGGCACGCAGCCAGGGCATATAAATCTAAGCAATCGATAGTACAAAAACGCATTCAAATACCTGCATGGGGCAATTCTTGTGTGTGTTTTCAGGACTGAGTCCCCAGTTTGTGACCTCTGTCTCAGTTTGTTATTTTACTCCAGATTAAATCTTTGGCAAAATTATTCATTCAAAAGAAGTCTATAGCTCTGATCATTATTTTGGAAATAATAATTGCACTAATTATTTGTCATTTTATTCTTATTGTGTCAGAATTTTAAAATCATTAGAATGTTTAAAATATATAATGCCACACAGTTTGTTTAATTTATTGAACAAAGAATAGATATTAATTTTTACACAGCTGCTCTGAAGTTATCTATTCTCCTTAGAAATAGGTCACTGCAGAATCAGTATACAAATGAATTAATGACAAAAGGAATGATATTTTATATGTTATCTATGCATATGTGTAAAATATGAATACAATGTGATGTGGATTTCATCTGGTTATATAAAAGGAGCTGTGTATAACCTGAATTCAACTTCATTGCAATATTAGTATTCTACCACATCTTGTTGCATTTTTTTATACTACATATTGATATATCAGAAGGTGTTGTAGGCTGCAGAGTTTTCTACAGAATTAATCTTAACTTTGATCCCCTTTATCATACTGTGCAGGAGTTCTGAAGAAAGCTAGTGGGGAGCTTTTAATAGGGGAAACTAGAGCAAATGAAACCAGTGTGCTTCCTGAACAGTTACTTCAGGTAAAAGAGGTGAGTATAAAAAGAGTCTTGTACTTTATGGGGATTTTTTTCTTTTTCTTTTTGTCTCTGTCACCAATATAGATTCTGTTGGCATACTCATTATAAATGCCTGTTTCCAGAAGTTAATTGTTTGAATATTACAATTAATTTTAGATTGCAGAATCTCAGCTCAGGAAGAAACAAAAATCCTGTACAAAATTTGTAAGTGAAGAGACAAAGGGGATATTCTTTTTTATTATTTTTTCATGTTATACTGTAACAAAGCTAACATACATCAGAAGAACAAAATCCATTACAAAGAAGAAAAAACATGAAACCATGCAGAAAGATAAAAGTCTTTATTTAATATTCCATATGTGATTGAATACACCATAGGCTGACAAATGTACTGAAATCTTAGAATCTGATCATGAGGATGCTTACTGCTGGGGTTTGTTAGTTCCTTTACAAGTCATTTACTGCAGTAAGCTTTGCATAAAGCACATACAGGATTGTGTCTTGGTCTGTCTTCTGTTTACCAGGGAAATATTGGAGTTGAATTTAGGGGACTTAAGAGGTCTAAAAAGACATACTAGGTCCAGCATTGCTCAGAAGTGTTCTTTCTTTAATCAATACCATATTTTAGGACTCAAACAGCTTGTTTAAATACACTGTGGATCAGTTTATGGGACTTATGTTTGAATGTTAGCTTTATAAAAAGTATTTTGATCTAGCTGAGCTGCACCTAGCACAGGAACTGAGGACAATGAGAGGAAAATGGGATTATGCTGCATTTGTACTCCCCAGATTATGGGGTTGGATGTGGGATCAGTTAAATCCTTGATGCAAGTTAGAGCAATGTAAGTGCTTTTCCAATTTCTGGCTGGTTACAGTGCCTAATTTCTTCTTAGCCTATGCACGCAATGAGCTATTACAGAAGTTAGAGTTGTTAGAGTTCTAACTCTTCCCTTCTCCACCTATTTACAGAGATGGGTTAGGATTAAATACTGAAATATTGCCCTTAAAGAAGAGACAGTATCAGTTGGTCACTATTGGCCACCTTTAAGTTCACTTTACATCATCAGAGCAGTGCAAAGCTGAATTAATGTGAGCTGGGCATGGCCCATGACATTCTTTAGACCCACTTCAGAAGTCTCTAAATTTTTGGCCAGGTTATGAACTCTTGTGATCTAGATTAGGTTAAATTGTGGCCAAATGCAGTACTAAAGGGAGGAGGGACAAAACTTGTTCATCTTGGCCTCTGAGGATAGAACGAGAATCAATGAGCTTAAACTGCAGCAAGGGAGGTTTAGGTTGGATGTTAGGAAAAAGTTCCCAACTGTCAGGGTAGTTAAACACTGGAATAAATTGCCCAGGGAAGTTGTGGAATCTCCATCTCTGGAGATATTTAAGAGCAGGTTAGATAAATGTCTATCAGAGATGGTCTAGGCGGTACTTGGTCCTGCTATGAGGGCAGGGGACTGGACTCGATGACCTCTCAAGGTCCCTTCCAGTCCTAGTATTCTATGATTCTATGATAAAGAAACAAATTCTAGCATCAGTATGCCAAAACTAGTTTCTCTAAACAGTTTACCATTGACATTATTGATTTGCTAGTTTTGCATTATAAGCATGCTAAGGAAGTAAGGGTATGTCTACACTACCACCCTAGTTCGAACTAGGGTGGTAGTGTAGACATACCCTTACTTCAATGAAGCCCGGGATTTGAATTTCCCGGGCTTCATTTGCATAAATCCGGGCACCGCCATTTTTAAATGTCTGCTAGTGCGGACTCCGTGCCGCGTGGCTACACACGGCACGGACTAGGTAGTTCGGACTAGGCTTCCTCAAGGAGTAACGGTAGTTCGGACTAGGAAGCCTAGTCTGAACTACCTAGTCCGTGCCGCGTGTAGCCGTGCGGCACGGAGTCCGCACTAGCGGACATTTAAAAATGGTGGCGCCTGGCTTTATGCAAATGAAGCCCGGGAAATTCAAATCCTGGGCTTCATTTGCAACTCCGGTTGCCTACATTACCACCCTAGTTTGAACTAGGGTGGTATTGTAGACATACCGTAAGAGAAAATATTGCATGGTGTCTGATGTTGCAAACTGTAAAAAATTGCTATAAAATGTAATTGATTTTATCAAATATATTTCATTTAAAGGTTGCTTTATGTGATAAGTAAAGTGTAGCTTGCTCCTGAAATAAATATAGTTTTATTGAAATAGATTTTTATGAATTAAATTTGTATTAAATCCAATGACAATTTAAATGTAACATGACTATATATATTAATCTGTGTCAAGAATGCATATGCGTTGTAATGTTAGTTCATTGTGAGTCTTACTTTCCAAGATATGTGAATGGTTTCACAGTATGACAGAGTATCTCTAGATAACTTTTATACTAGTAGTCATATATGATTAGAACTATAGCAGTAGTAACACTCATTGCTGAGTTTGGATTTATGTTACATACATTTATATTTCAGACTAATTTATTGGATTTTAGCTGGAGGAATGCATTTAATGGCCTGTCTTCTTCTGTGGCACACTGTATAACAATAGCAATTGAAGATTTTTCAACTAAAATTCTTCAGCACGAGCAGAAAGAACAGTCTTCAGCTACAGTCTATACAATGAGCCTAATAAACATCCAGCAAATGAAGGAGTCCTGGGGAACAGTACACAAGGAAGAACAACCAAAACAAATTGCAAAGGTAGGTCTCCAAAGATCTGAAGTTTGCAGGGAAACAGAATGTCAAGGTTGCTTCCTGTCCAAGCTTTGAAATGCTTATAGTCCCATTAATATTCCAAGTTGTATATACTGTGCACAGTCTAGACTGTGTCTAGACTGGCAAGTTTTTCCGCAAAAGCACTTGCTTTTGCGGAAAAACTTGCCAGTTGTCTACACTGGCCGCTTGAATTTCCTCAAGAACACTGACTTCTTACTGTCTGAAATCAGTGCTTCTTGCGGAAATACTATGCTGTTCCCGTTCGGGCAAAAGTCCTTTTGCGTAAAGCTTTTGCACAAAAGGGCCAGTATAGACAGCTCAGATTTGTTTTGCACAAAAAACCACGATCGTGAAAATGGCGATCGGGGCTTTTTTGCAGAAAAGCATGTCTAGATTGGCATGGACGCTTTTCCACAAAAAGTGCTTTTGTGGAAAAGCATCTGTGCCAATCTAGATGCTCTTTTCCGCAAATGCTTTTAACGGAAAACTTTTCTGTTAAAAGCATTTGTGGAAAATCATGCCAGTCTAGACGTAGCCTGAGAGTTTAAAAAAAAAAAAGTGAAAGGCATTACAATACAGTGTTGAACATTGTGTTATACTTTAACATGTACCCCGCACTAAACAAAATTGACTTTTTTTTTTTTTTGCATAAAAAGTGTTCAAAACCATTCTGATCAAAACCATGTAGTGTCTGTGGCACTTTATCCCAATTTGATCATTATATGTTTGCAAAATCTGAAGCATTGCTAAAAAAAAAGATTTCCTTTCCTTAAGCATGCCTTTTAATTAATTAACATAACTAATATTGTGGCCAAATTGTAATTCTTTGATTTGGCTAGAATGTCAGATATATTCATTAGTTAAATGGTTAAATAGATATATAATATAGGAAAGCTCTTTATTATTGTAATTTTTGTGAGTGTTTTACCAGTTTAGGATAGAAAATAATTGATACTAAGCAGAATTATTGAATATTTTTTAAAGGAGCATACAGGCGTTTAGAAAAATGGCTTTATTGAGAACAATACTTATTAGAAGATGACATTGTCTCCTCTGTAACTAGCAGCAAGAAATTCATTAAAGCATTGCTTTTGAAAAAGATATTATAGCTTAAAGAATTGTCCCTGTTTAGAAGGCACTAGTCTTATCTTTTGAACACTATTAAATATATATGATGAGAGGGCATCAACGGAGCATTATTTCATATCTGACATTGTAGCCAACTCAAATAACTGCAATGTATCCATTATTTTTGTTATGTTAATTAATTAAATATTTAAATACTTGTTAGCAAGTACTGTGCTGGTATACAGCACAAAGGCTGCGAAGTTATATTTGATGCTCAGTAAAAATTTATTATCCAGCACTTGAATATTCAGAAAACTTGTCTAACCAGCATTACCCACAGCCACTATGCCCCTGCATTTTCAGGTGCCCATGCGCCTGACTCCCACCTGTACAGCCAGCCAAGCTTGATGCCTCTCACCATTGCAAGTCTTATGACAGCCAGCACTACCAGCTACCATCATCATTATCAAATCTTCCCCCTCAGCCTGCCTCATGGGCTCCCAGGCAGCTGGCCCACTTGTCTGCCTGCCACTGGGGACGGCTTTGTGGCTCAAGGGGAAGAGTTGCCAGGGGGCATGGTTGGTCACCATGTTTTCCTCCAGGTAGGGGAGAGGGGCAGAGCAATAAGCTTGAGATCCGGCACATTCAATTAACCGACAACTCCCATTCTCCATGAGTGCTAGATAACAAAGCTTTTACTGTATTTATATTATAAATAAATGTTTAAGGCTGATTTGTTTTGTGCTCATTCATTATTCAAGAATTTTGCCCTGTGCATAAATTACACAGTGCTGTCAGAGTACAAATAACTTGATGCCACATTTATTTCTCCCTAGTTTTGTTCTGACATTATGGAAGAACTCGACACAGTGCTTCCACTGGCTCTGGCATGCAGAGATGATTCTCTTCAGGAAATTAGAGAAAACTTTGTAGAGGTCTGCTGTAAAGTAGCAACAGCTGTTCTGCAAAGATTGGAGGAGAGAAGCAAAGAAGTTCCCTCTGAAGCTCCACTGCAAAACTTGTATGCTGTTCTCTCCACAGCAATATATGTCTTTCAACATTTTATGATGTATGATAATTTAATGAGAGAGACCAGCAAAAAGTGAGTCCTTCAAATATATTTTATTTCAAACATAGATAATATGGAACTTTGATTCAATTTCAGTGATATAATGTATGATCTATAATTCCAGCAAAGATACCCAAAATGTTACCTGTTGTTAAAGTACCATTTGAACTGTTTTTAGAAAAGATTAGGCATATTAGTAACTTGAAGTAGTTACAGTAAACTTCCGATAATCCGGCACTTTTAGGACCCAGGGGGTGCCGGATTATCAGATATGCCGGACTATCAGAAGGGGGGGGCTGAGGAGTCTGGGGTGGTGTGGGGGGGATGCCACCCTAGACCCCTCATAGCCCCCCCTTCCAATAGTCTGGCTCTGCCCCAGGTGTCCCCGATTCAGCCGCTGCTGGTCAGTTTCAGCAGCAGCTGAATCGGGACACCTGCGGCAGAGCAGCTGGGGTGCTGCCGGGTTGGTCCGGTAGTGTCGCTCCTCGGTGCTACTGGATCAACCCGGCAGCCCCCCAGCTGCTATACCCCAGGCTTCCCCAAGAGCAACTGGGGTGCTGCCGGGTTGGTCCGGTAGTGTCGCTCCTCGGTGCTACTGGATCAACCCGGCAGCCCCCCAGCTGCTATACCCCAGGCTTCCCCAAGAGCAACTGGGGTGCTGCCGGGTTGGTCCGGTAGTGTCGCTCCTCGGTGCTACTGGATCAACCCGGCAGCACCCCAGCTGCTCTGCCGCAGGTGTCCCGATTCAGCTGCTGCTGAAACTGACCAGCAGCTGAATCAGGGAGGCCGGGGGCAGAGCAGCTGGAGTGCTGCCAGTAGGTCCCGTAGCGCTGCCCCTCGGCACTGCGGGACCAACCCAGCAGCACCCCAGCTGTCCCGGAGTCAGCCACTGGTCAGTTTCAGCAGTGGCTGAATCGGGGAAACCGGGGGCAGAGCAGCTCCAATGGTCCGGCTGCCCGGAGCACTTCTGGGTTCCTGATGGTGCCAGACTATCAGGAGTGCCGGACCATCAGATGCCGGACCAATGGAGGTTTACTGTATTACAAACACTGATTTTTGTCTTCAAGGTGTGACTTGGCAAGGCAATGCAAAGCAAATTCTTTGCATATTTAACCTTAAACAAATACACCAATATTATGGTTGTCTACGCTACATGATGGTATGGATGAATAGAGGAGTTCCATTTCATTTGTACCTTACAGCAACAGCTTAATTTGATAAAAACAATGCTAAAAATGTAATCTTTGGCAACATGAATATTTGTTCCTGTACTTTGGCATCATAAAGATTGTGTTGAGCACCTTGAAAATATTCTCCAATAGATTTTTATCAGAGGTTAAAAATTAATTAAATAAGTCTTAGCTGGATAAAATTATAAATAGGCCAAAGAAAGGGCATTGGCATCTAGAAAAATTTTGGGTAAGGCTTCAGGTTCAAAACTAACACTTTGACTTGATGGCTCTGAAACCATATAAGTTGTTCTTGGGAAATTTTGGCTCAGAATAGTAGGAATCTCTTCATCAGTCATCCTGTGTGATTCTGGTCATGTCTGAATTGGAGCTGGAAAACAGGCTTCTTGAAGATTGGAATATGACCTAGAGTCAAAATAAAGTGCAGGTGCAAAATCATGGGATCTAAAGGTTAATGCATACCCTAGTAGAAATTTGAAGAGGTTTGAATTCACAGTTCCAGCTTTGACCATATCTAGTAAAAGTGTTATGATTTTGATTTCTAATTAAATGTATCTTGTGTGCATTTGGACACTATGATTCACAACTGAATTTAAAAGCAGACTCTCAGTTCTCAGCTTCTATTTTCTTCCCGGCATAGTGACAAGTTTCCGAAGGGTATGTATGTCAATCTGTTTCAGCAGAAACAATAAGGAGTCCTATGGCACCTTAAAAATTAATAAATTTATTTGGGCATAAACTTTCATAAGCATGGATCTGACAAAGTGGGTTCCAGTCCACAAAGCTTATGCCCAAATATATTTGTTAGTCTTTATGATGCCACAGGACTCTTCATTGTTTTTATTCTCTTCCTGTTGCTCTGCCTGAATGGGGCAAAGGGGATATAAGCTGGAGCTACCAACCAGTTGAGAATTCCTGTGGTCAAAGAAGAGAATTGGTGCACTGGTGTAAAATGGTAGGACTGGTTCTAAAGCCAATGTTTCTTCGACACATCCTTCCATGGGGGCATGTCAAGGATGGAAATGTGTAATGAGATGAGACGGAGATGTATGAGCATTGTGCTCCCCTCTAGCAGGTGTAAGTAGAGAACTGCAAGACCATACCCAGCTGTAGTAACTCAGTGCAGCCGAGGGTTGGGGTCAGGGTAATATCAGAATCAAAGACCCATAATTGAATGCCTAACATTCTCCCACCCTTGCAATGTGTATATCTTGGTGTATGAGAGAATCTGCCACCACATATTGCCCAAATCATTCTATTTGTGTGCATGTCAAAGCAATTTGTGATCATTCATATATTGCAATTATGCTTTTTATTTTACTAAAAAGCACAAGTCTGTGAGAGTCTTGTTTATATGCTAGCTTTATAAAAGTTACTTACGACAAGTGCATAGTGTCTTCCAAAAACATTGACAATTGAATGACAAAATAACATTCTGATTTGTAATAATAGGGATAAATACTTTTACTTCTGAATGATGTATTGACAATGCAGTTTTTCTGGAACAGAAATACATATTTGTGGAACAGCAGATGTACATTTTCAAAGAGCTTGCAAAACAAAGACCTGATTTTTTTTGAAAGTGAATGTGAGCTCAGACTTCAGAACCAAGAGGAAATGAATGATTGATAACTAATAATCAAAACCATTTGTAGTATGGGGGATTTTTACCTCCTACTGCACAGGCCTTAAATCTTGGCCTCTTTGATCATTCTCTCCGAACAGGCCCCTTTTCCTAGTGCCTGTCCAGGGATATCAGGAATTCATCAGCGTTCTCCAGTTTCAAGTTACCAACTACTGCATCAGAGTTTGTGCTACAAGTATTTTACAGGATGCTGAGAGCCACCACTGGGATGACTACAAAGCTTTTTATGAGGTGTGAGCTTAAGTTTACTATCCCTCCCCTTTACACAAATGTGTTTTACTGCTTATCTGCTCTCTGACTAATTAGAAACATAAGATCTGTGCTACTTGTGCAAAAGGGCTGTTGGGATATATTTTTAAAATAACTCTGTAACTGTATGTAAATATCTTCTTAGGAATGATTTAGTAAAATATAGTTAAAAGACCTAAGATTAATCAATGAGGTAATTAAATAAGGCTTCTCATGTTGTTTGCCTAATAAATGTACCTGTATGCAGTAAAGAAGAGAAGGTTAAAAGGTTGATGCTTATACAGTATAAGATACAAAGAAATAGCAATACCAGAACAATGCAAATCTTTTCCTTCACCAGATATGCCCTGTGGTTATTATAAGAATGGGGGGGAGTTGTTCTTTTCCTCCCAATACATATCCATGTGATATGTTTTTTTTCTTATTTAATAGATTTCTTGTTGGTCATTCATGATCATTTTGCTCCCCTAGGCTATGTCTAGACTGCAAGCCTCTTTCGAAAGAGGCTCTTTCGAAAGAGAGCGTCTAGACTGCACGTGGAACTTTCGAAAGAGCAAGCCGCTTTTTCGAAAGAAAGCACCCAGTGAGTCTGGATGCTCTCTTTCGAAGAAGCCCTATTTACATTCAAGAACGCCTTCTTTCGAAAGAAGCACTTTCGAAAGAAGGCGTTCTTCCTCGTGAAATGAGGTTTACCGCCATCGAAAGAAAAGCCACGTTCTTTCGATTTTATTTCGAAAGAACGCGGCTGCAGTCTAGACGCAGGTGAAGTTTTTTTCGGAAAAAGGCTACTTTTCCCGAAAAAACCCCTGAGTCTGGACACAGCCCTACTGTGGACTTGGTAAGGGGCTCATGTATCACATGTGACCAGTATCCTTGTTCATAGAATCCAGCCATATGTTTCTAACCTGCCTATTGTGATTTTTGCTTGAATTTTGAAATCCCAAGCCTACTCGTAAACTCTAATTTAATTATTTTAGTGAAAGAAAGTCAGTGACCAATTACTAAAACTTACAGATGAAGGTATTGTTTCTTCCCCCCCTTCTAGTGAACTATTCTATTGATTATAGACTACATATTGCTTAATGCTTGATTGGATGTGATTGTTGCATCATTTTGTAATTTTATTATATATAATAATTTGTATATTATATATACAAATTATCAGGGCTTGACAAATTCTGGAAAACCCTACTCGCCAGACAAAAAAGGGACTCGCCACCCTCCCCCCCAAAAAGGAATTTATGCTATTAAAAAAACACTAATAAGAATAAGAACAGTAATCACTAATAAGTTATTAATAAATATCACCCAAGTTATTAATAAATATCTTATAAACCTCTACCTTTTCCCTCTGCTGCCATGTCTCTGCCCCTTGCTCCATCAGCTCCCCTGGTGCCTGCTGCCCCCCAACCCCTCACCTACCTCTGCTGTCCTGACTCCTGCCCTTTTCATTGCCCTCAGCCTTCCGTTTTCATTTTTTTCCCGGCATTTTAGCTCTATAAATAACAAATAGCATTTTCATTTGTTTATTCCATAAAGGCAAAGGCGCTTCAAGTGAACTCCCCCTTTCACTCCCTGCTGGGTCATAGCAGCCTTTTCCCTGGCCTGTCCAGCCCCTCCCTTTGGACAAGCACCCCTCACTTCCAACCCACAGGGGAAACAGGGTACAGGGACAGCACAGAGCCAGAGGGGTGCAGGGAACAGTGGGGCGGAGGGTACAGGGGTGGCACGGCGAATGGGAGGCACAGAGCCAGAGGGACGCAGGGTGCGGGGTGCGGTGGAGGCACGGGGAATGGGACGCGGGGAACGGGAGGGGCAGAGGGATCGGGGTCTAGGAGCAGTGCAGGGAACGGGCAGCACAGAGCTGGGGGCAGGGACCGGAGGAGAGCAGGGTGCAAGGGCAGCGCAGAACCAGAGAGTTGCAGGGAAGAGGGAGAGCAGGGGGCCCAGGGTACAGGGGAGCAGGGTGCAGGGGAGCAGGGGCGGCGTGGGGAACAGGCGGCGCAGAGACAAAGGGGCGCGGGGCGGGTGCAGCAAGCCAGGTGGTCGGCTGGGAGCAGTCTCTCACCGGCGAGGGGGTTGGGGCCATGGCAGGACTGGAGCTGGCGGGGTGGGGCCTGGCTGCGCTGCAGCCAGCTCCCAGGGCCACGCAGCCAGAGCCAAGCTGCCACGGCCCTTTAAAATCAGCAGGGCCAGGTTATGCCAGCGTCCTGACGTCTGCCGCCATCCCACCTCTGGCCCTGCCTCCTCGCGCCGGAGCGTCACACAGGCAGCCCGGCGCTGAGAAGCAGTGCGCTTCCCCCTTCCCAGTGGCGCTCCGCTCCTCCGCCAGCTGGCAGATCGGATGGGGCCACGCCAGCGTTAGTGCGGGCTTTGGCCAGCCCATCACAACCACCCACCGGGCCAGTCCGCCCAGCTGATAAAATCTACTTGCCACAGTCGAGTGGGTGAGTGCATTTGTTGAGCCCTGCAAATTATTATCATTAATAATATACAGCAATTTGTTACAACTGCCATATCATTCTGCGCATGACTCTACAGTCTCCAAGGCTTCCTGCAGTATCAGATATTTACATTCTGTAAACCAGTTAGGAAGACCCATTGTGTTGTACCTTCTCTTTCGATGGTGAGGATCTGGAGAGTCCATTTGATTAAATGTTACTTTCCGTGGCTGGTACTATTAAAGGATGGTACTAAGAAGCCAATTTTATTTTTCTAAATACAGTCTGGATGATTAAGGAAGTTGGCAGTAGTATAGAGCCCAGTATCTCTTGGGTCACTGCAGGTACGTCTACACAGCAACATTATTTTGAAATAACTTAGTCTACATCTACACTGCGGGCATTTATTTCAAAATAATGTCAAAATACTGTCAAGATGGAAGACTTCTTACTGCGACTCCTGTAACCCTCATTGTACGAGGAGAAAGGGAAGTTGGAGAAAGAGTGCTCTATTTCGAAATAAGTGCCGTTTAGACACTCCCTATTTCGAAATAAGCTACGCAGTTGACAAAACTCAATGTGCATAGCTTATTTTGCGTTAAGCCCTGCTGTGTAGACACACCCTGATTGAGATCTGGTATGCACTGGTAAAAGTCTAAACTTATCATCACATGATTGTGGCCAGTTACAATTAGCAGAGAGTTGTCTACCTCACAAAAAACACTATCATAATTGACACCAATTGTTAGCAGTCTCACAGCAAGGACTAACCGAATAATCCTTGCTCCTCTGATCAGTATTGAGGCACATAGGAAGTTAGTTTGTGGGAGGCTTGTATCTCTTAAATCTTCAGGACAGTTTGGCATCTTTTGTAAATCTTCTGTTAAAATTCACAAACAGCAGAACCCACTCTCTTCTGCCAGATTAAGGGCCAGTCTGTACCTTTGCTTTATGTATGTATGCATCAGAAGGGGAGTGTCTAAGGAAGGAACCTTCCCCTCCCCATTTTTATGCAGCCTGTTAAAGACCAGGAAGAATACTAAGCCTTACACACTGGAGATTTTCAGGGATTGTTCCCTTCCTGTTCAAATGGATGCTTGGCCTTCAGATTTTCACAGGAATGGGACTTTGCCCTGCCTGTTTTCCCACTGCTTGTGCCATCCACCATGTTCTGGTATTCAGAATAATAAACTATTGCACACCACAAAAGAAGATGAGACTATATGGAAAGAAAGACATTCTCAACATGAGTAAGGTTGGCAGAATGTGGCACTCTGTGATTATATGGAGCAACATTTTCTATAGACATTATTATTATTATTATTATTATTAATTATAATGATAACCTCCAAATATCCCAACTAAATATGGGAGTCCGTAGTTATTTATACTCTTTACAATTAAGTGATACTGCTTTTCTATACAGTAAAGGTAAAAATAGTTAAGTTTTCAAATATTATATCTATTCCCTAATCCAACTGACATGAAAGTAGTGGTAGGTTGGATCAAAAGAAAAGCAGACAGTCACATCTTAGCTGTAGGTTATGGGCTCTAGTCTGTTCATATGGACTTGCAACTTGTTAAAGTTCAGTAAAGAATCAAGATGTGCCCATACGTGTGAGAGATGAACCAAAGCCTAAGTACATTATTACTATAAAGCATTTAACATTCTAAGGGTACATCTACACTGCAACACTATTTCGAAATAACTAGCACTATTCCAAAATAACTTAGTCTGCGTCTACACAGCAGGCAGTTATTTTGAAATACTGTCAAAATACTGTCAAGCTGGAGGACTTCTTACTCCGACTCCTGTAACGCTCATTGTACAAGGAGTAAGGGAAGTCAGAGGAAGAGTGCTCTAAATCAAAATAAGTGCTGTGTAGATGCTCCCTATTTCAAAATAAGCTATTTCGAAAAAAGATGCGCGATTAACATAGCTCAATTTGCGTAGCTTATTTTGACTAAAGCCCTGAAGTGTAGATGTATCTTTAGAGTGCAGTATCTCACTGATGGAGTACACTGAACATCCACTTTGCACCAAGCCAGCTCTCCAGACTACATTTTAGAATCAAGCTTTTAGTATAGCTCACATCTGCTGCAATTCTAGGAACTTACATTGTCTAATAGTCAAAGAATAAAGAATTGTCTGTTCAAAGGAAATATTGAGTGGCTTAGTTAATAAAGCCCAGCTGCTTGTTTCCTGATACATAACCTAAATAAAAGCTCACATCTGTTTACACTGTACAAAATATTCAAAAATAACAGATGTTTACCAGTAGCATATCTTATAAATGGCAACCAACAGAAAAACAGGTCAGCAAAAGGGAATGGATCTCATATAAAACTTTAACCAAAACCCTATTGCTTTTTTTAAAGGCACAACATTAGAAAAGATACATTATTAAATTTAACACTTGAAGATTATATAATGTTAAAAATATTATATAATAGTAAGTGTAATAATATAAATTTATGCTCAGAAAAGAGGCTTATAGGCTCCTAGACAATTAACAAAACTTTCAAGCATCCAGATACTTAAGAAAACTTTATGAAAGCTATCCCAAATAGAAAATTAATGTAGAAAGTCTTATTTCTATGTGAGACCTGCATTTTTAAAAATTATTTTCTAATTTTAATTTCATGTCAGAAGACCTAAAACTGACCAAAAAAAACCATTCCATTCCATTCGGAATGGAAACTAAGCTAATTATTCTATCCAGAGTGAGCTTATTATATGAATGCAAGAGGTATATTTGCAGAAATAAAAAGACTGTTTAGTAGAAATATTTGTATATTTGATCATCTCCTGGAAGCAATCTAAAATAGTGAATTTTATAATTAGGAGACCATAAAATACCAAAGCACACAGTTACAAAAAATGTATGAACGTTTGAGTTATTGCTTGTCTAGGAAGTATTCTTAGCAGAGATCTCAATATACTTAACCATAATAGTTAAGGTTTATTTTATATAAGGAAATCAGGAAATTACAAAAAGCTGTTGATCTGGCTTGGAGAAAATAAGTACAGTACAGCTTTAGCTGCATGAGAACATCTGCCAAGACCTTAAAACTGTCTTAAAAATTGGGCAGTTATAGGTTTTTGTTTCTAGTATTGGTATTAAAATGCAATAGTGAAATATCAAAATACTTTTAAAATGTTTCTCAACAGCCCATGTCACATGCATATATATAATAAGGAGATTCGTTGTTTAGATATTTTTTCCCTGCTGTTCTTTCATTATAATTACATGCAACCTAAGATTCATAGAAATCTGAAAGTGCATATTATGGATTCAGGGAAATAGATATACTACTCAAGTAATTTCTGGCTCTTGCTTAAGGTGAGGTAGCCAGTATATTAAACTAATCTGGTTAGTTTAGTGATTGCAAAATATTGTATATAGTTTAATGAAAAATTAAAACAATAGGTCAGAAGTAGGTGAATTAAGGATATAGTAGGTCACATGTTTGTGGTTTGGCTTTGCGGTAGAGTATTGGTTTGGTAACTGAAACGAAACATGTGTTTCTTTGTCAATAAAGATGTTTTACATCTTGTCAGGAAACTTTTTAGGTCATCTAGTGTCTCAAACTCTTCAGCTATTTCCTTTCAGCCTGAACTAATTAGATTCACAGGTACCAAGCTGACATTTTGGGAGATGTGTTTCTGTTGTTTAATGTTTGGTGGTTTTGCCAGGGGGAAAGATGCTCATTCTCTGTCCAGATGTGGCATTATTTCTGCTGTGCTCTCCATCATGATCTGTGGACTATTCTACCCCCCAAGTTAGCCCAGGAGATTCTAAAAGAAGTGCTGGAGAAATCTTTGGCTGTGCTGGCCTGCAGATATTCTCAGGCCCATCCCAGTTACAAGAGAACTCCACAGATAAGGTAATGTGTTTATGATTAACAGGAGTATTTTGTGGATATAAGTGCATGTGTTCTCAGAATGTGATGTATTGTTTTGTTGTCACTCACCTGAATTTAAATATTTGTAAATATCAAAATAAATGTATAAATGTCTATATTTCCTAAAAGGATTATTTTAATAAAATTCATCTGAATATTTAAGTATATGCTAGGCTTCAAGTACTATGTGATCATGCAGTATATAATTGGAGTTATATAACTCCCTCTTTTGTAAAGCTTCCACATAAGTGGCCAGGGGGCATGAAGCTTGATGTAGAGAGGTCCAAGCTGTGACTGAACAGACAAAAAGAAATTCAGAAAAGAGTTGCAGCTTTGGGTGAGGGCCAAGGGATTGATCCATGAATTAAAGGCTCTGCTCTTCTGGCATTTCCAGGACAGGCAAGGTGTCTAGAAGCAATAAAAGGACAGGCATTTCCTGCGATAAACTTGTTCCAATACCTTATTCCTTCCCTTCCATTCTCCTGTTTGATTAGGGCAATTAGTAAATGGACTGTTTCTCTCCCCCTGCTCTTTACTAAAACTTGTCCTCTTTTTTTTATTCTGAAAGTGGGAGGATCCATGGTGATTTTAGTGTTCATGAGATTTAAATTAGTCTCAAGGAAATCAAAATCATTTGCATGGACATTGAATCCACCTAAGACAGTTGGCTCACACTACTGCTGAAGGCTGTAAATGCAGAAAGGCAACTGAGATTTAAAATTTGCTCATGATACTGAAGATTTCAAATGTGCTCATCCAAGAATTTCATAAAGCACTTTGCAAATGCCAGTGAATTAAGTCTTACAATTTTCATGTGAGTTAAAGAAGTATTGTAAACCCATATTACAGATGGAGTGACTGAGACAAAGAGAATCAAACTGACTTGTCCAAGGTCTCAAAGCCTTTAGAAGAGTTGGGAACACACATTTATGGCTTAATCCTCTACTAAATGTTCTGTGATAAGGTCACTCTGTCTGTAGCCTTAAATATAACTAGGATACACTGTTAGACTGTATTTCTTCATGCTCAAATGTTACTATTAGGGATGGATGTTAATAGGGATTATTCTGGAGAGTAGCAGGAGCAAGGGTGGAAGAGACAGAAATATGGCTTCATTGTGATGTGCTATATCAACTATTGTTTATTAAGAGAATTGAATAAAAAACTTTCTTCTGATCAGAAATTGATTGTGTATTGGTTTGTAGACTGTATTATTGCAGAGAGCCTTTAACAATTTCATCCATTTCAAGTAAGGTGTTTTTATTGTCTGTATTGTAGGAAAGTACATTAATAACTTGTGTGAGATTTCACTGTCAGAGTGCTTCCATGGCTGACATTTTCACTCCTTTTTTCCTCAACAGAATTGATATCTCAGCGATTTTAATATCTACTGAAAATATGCTGTGGTCAACTTGCAGCTCAGTGCAGGAACTTTTGAATCCACATAAAGAGAAAGACACCAAGATCTATAAAATACATGACTACTGCAACAGTCTGCTCTCTGCACTTGCTATTTTAACTGCACCTTTGAAGAATCTTTATGAGTAAGTATGGGCGTATATTTTAATATTTTAGAAATGACCTTGTTGCTTATTTAACTTACAAGTGGAAGTGTAGATGATCATCGAGACAATTTTTGATTAAAATGCAAATGGAACAGTGGACACAGTTTGAGAACCCCTGATCTAGATATAGGTTGAAACTCTCTTAACTGAGATTCTCAAGTTTGGCAACATCCATGGTCTGGCAAGGGTATTGCAGGACCAGAGAGTCCTGGTGGAGGGCCAGCAGCAAGGATCCCTGTGGGACAGACAGGGCAGCGGGCTGCTTTGAGGCAGCTGATGGAAGGGCCACAAAGCACGTGGCAAAGGGGCTGCTTAGCAGGGTTGAGAGATCCGGCATGTGGCACATGCAGTGGGGTAGGGAGCCTCAGTGTGGTGCATGAGGCTGCCCAGGGAGTCTCAGTGTGTGGATCCCAGAGCCTCGGCAGCTGTGATGACCCAGCAGAGTCAGCAGGGCAGTGGGGCCAGCAGGAGATGGGAGCCAGATGGGAGGCCAGTGTCTAGGCCGGAGGGGCAGGTGGCAGGGGTCCAAAATTGACCTCCCCTACTCCAGCAAAATCCCTTATCTGGAACCAGTCAGGTGCTGGACCAGGGAGTACCTGTACTTCATTGATGTCTTCAATTAATCTTTATAGGCCTTATTTTAAGACCATTAAACTCAGTGAGATTTTTTTAATCAAGTTTAATGGGATTTGGAACAAGTCTGTGAGCATCATACTTCCACATAAATTCATAAAAGCTAGAAAAGATTATCCAGTTTGACCTCCTGCATCACACGGGGCATAGAACATCACTTAGTGATTCCTGCATTAAGTGCAAATTTTTTGTTGCCCTTAATATTTTAGAAAGATATCTTTTTTGATTGAAAGGCTTTCAGTGGTAAAGAATCCACTGTAGTCCATGGTAAGTTAATCACTCTCACTGTTACAAGCTTGCATAGAGAATTTTTCTAACTTCAGCTTCCAGCCATTTTATCTTCTCTGGTCTTTGTCTCCTAATTGCCCTTCGCTCTTGGAAATATTTTCCCAGACTTCTTGGAATTATTGGACTTCTTGAAATAATTCATTGAATTGATTATCTGATTACTTGACACATAGGAAGCCGATGTGCTTCACTAATGCTACATCTAGACTGCATCCCTCTGTTGACAGAGGCTTTGTCGACAGGTACTGTCGACAAAATCTTTGTCGAAAAAGAGCATCTAGATACGGGTGTGTCTAGACGACACCTCTCTGTCCACAGAGAGATGTAGATTAGGCACATCAAAATTGCTAATGAAGCAGGGATTTAAATATCCCATGCCTCATTAGCATAAATATGGCCACCGCTTTTTTCGAAACAGAGCTTTTTTAAAAAGACAGCAGTCTAAATGTTTCGACAGATCCTGTATTCCTCAAAAAATGAGGTATATAGGATCTGTCGAAAAAGGCTTTATTTTCGACAAATCCGCATCTAGACTGCCATTCTTTTTGAAAAAAACTCCATTTCAAAAAAAAGAAGTGGCCATGTTTATGCTAATGAGGCATGGGATATTTAAATCCCTGCTTCATTAGCAATTTTGATGTACCTAATCTACATCTCTCTGTCGACAGAGATGTGTAATCTAGACACACCCTATGATCAGTATTGTCAACAAAGCAAGCCACTTTTTCAAAAGAGAGTCTAGATGCTCTCTTTTGAAAAAGCACAGTTTGCATGCAATAGTGCCTTTTTTTCAAAAGAGTACTTTTGAAAAAAGATGTTATTCCTTGTAAAATGAGTTTTACCACTGTCGACAAAACTGTTGCTTTTTGTTGACTTGTTGTCGACAGAACACGGCGGTAGTGTAGACACAGGTATAGTTTTGTCGACAAAAGCCAACTTTTTGTCAACAAAAGCCTGTACTTTAGACACACCCTAAGTCTCAAATATACTTGTAAAGAACAAGTGTGTACAAAGCTTAACTTTAGAAAAAAATATATTTAGAAGTCACAATTGCTAACCAAACAAGGACTTGAACTACACTGACGTTACATGTTAGTTATCAATGGGGCCAAGATTTCATCCAGATTGTTTTAAGAGCCATATATTAAAATGAGACCCCAAATTTTGAAAAAAAAATCCAAGAGCCTGTGAGATTGGTCTTAATTTTATTACATCAGTAGACAAACTATGGGAAAGAATAGGAGGAGAGAGTTGTTACTAATGGGAAAAATTCAAGAACTCTAACAGAAAGAATCAATAAAGAATGTGAAGGATTAACCTGCATATTAAAATTTACATACTGGGTTTCAGAATCGCAAAACCTCACATGTTTGAGTCATGTAACAAATTTCAGTATAGTAAACCGATTTCCTTTAGATCAAAAACTTTTAGAAATAAAAGATCCTACTTAACCAATCACTAGGGGTACGTCTAAACTACATGCCACTGTCGGCAGAGGCATGTAGATTTGTTTTTTTGGCAAAGGCAAATGAAGCCGCGATTTAAATGATCGCGGCTTCATTTACATTTACATGGCTGCCGCGCTGAGCCGACAAACAGCTGATCAGCTGTTTGTCGGCTCAGCGCGGCAGCCATGTAAATGTAAATGAAGCCGCGATCATTTAAATCGCGGCTTCATTTGCCTTTGCCAAAAAAACAAATCTACATGCCTCTGCCGACAGTGGCATGTAGTTTAGACGTACCCCTAGTGATTGGTTAAGTAGACTAGCGCGCGAGCCGACAAACAGCTGTTTGTCGGCTCAGCGCGGCAGCCATGTAAATGTAAATCATTTAAATCGCGGCTTCATTTGCCTTTGCCTATGTGTCTAATCTACATGCCTCTGCCGACAGAGGCATGTAGTCTAGACACAGCCTAGGTGTGGGGAATCTGAACCTTTGTGCTCTGGAGATCTGCAACCCATAGAGCCTGCAGGAAATTCAGCCAATACCCCATCTTAGGGTCCTAGGCTATCTGTCGCAGTGCAGACTTTCCATGTGGCATCCCTGCACTTTGCATACTAGACCCTTAGCTGCCAGACATCTAGCCCTTCTGAATGCATTGCTAATCCTTCAGACTCCCCACTCCCAGAACTCCTGCCTAAAGCTTCTGGCTTACAGTTTAACTCTCTCAGAATCATGTAGTAGTTGTGAGAGGCTATATCCAGACTGAAGGCTCTTTTCAGAAGAGATCTTCCAAAAAAACTTCTTCCGAAAGAGAGAGTCCACATTGCCAAAGCACATCGGAAAAGCCATTTGCTTTTTCGGAAGATAGCATCCATACTGAATGGATGCTATCTCGCATGTAAACTGTGATTACTATGGATGGAGTGGCGACGAGGCACCTGTAATTTTTCCTCTTTCCTCTTCTTTCAAAAGAACTCCCTCTTTCTTGTCCACACATGCCTTTTTCTGAAAGAGTTCTTTCGGAAAAAGGCTTCTTCTTCATAGAAAGAGGATTACCAACACCGGAAAAAACCCTCTGTTCTTTCAGTTTATTTTCAGAAGAATGTGATTGCAGTGTGGACATAACTCAGGTTTTGTCGGAAAAATTGCCATTTTCTCAACAAAACTCTGTAGCATAGACATACCCAGACAGTCAATACACACACTTTGTTCAATCTAATAGATTTATGCTCTTAACAAATAAAGCGGAAGGGAGTACAAGGGAGGCAAGGTATATATTCCCTCCTCATGAAGGCTGTTGCAGTACTGGGTCCTGCCATGAAGGCAGAGGACTGGACTCGATGACCTCTCGAGATCCCTTCCAGGTCTAGTGTTCTATGGAGCCCTTACCTAGTTTCTGTGACTTCATTCTTTCCTGCCCTACACATCCTGTCCCTGTCTTAATCTGGTGCAAAATGGCTCCTCTCTTACCCATTTCCCCCATGTGATTCCATTTATAAACTCCTGCTGGGGTCACCTGCTTTTTTTGTTCTGCCTTTTGGTGATTTTCCATTTCTTCCAAAATCCACCATCACTTCAGCAAAAGGAAGAAATGTCTTCTCTCAGGTAGATCATATCCTTTTGTCCCAAATAGACATACAATGGTTGAGTGCCAATCACTCATGATTGTCTCTCCAATGGGAGAGACATAACACAGCCCTGCTAATTTGTTGTGGATCCTTGTGTTTATATATTTTTAGTGACACTCTTGATAAATTTAACCCACTAATTACAGTCAAGATTACATAAAAAGTTAACATGTTGAGTTTGTTTATTAAATTTGCTCATTTTGCTAGTCAATGAAGAGTACATACTTCACAAGATGAAAAAAGGTTTTACTATTTACAAAATTAGAGATTATGCACAAATTTGAAATAAAATAATATTGATCTCTTATGAGTTTTCTTTATTTTCTTGACTATATAATAAAAATGTCCTTATGTTAGGTAGTTTCTAATTCATTCTTTAAAAATTTGGGTAAAATTAATTGTAAATGAAGCAATACATAGATGAAGCAGACGTGACTAATTTTTGCAAGCCTAAATTGATTTTGTGAATATATAATCAGATTTTCATAAGAATAAGCACACAGAACATCTCATAAATGACTACTTGTATGTTTCTGCCAGAAAATCTCTGAAAAAGTGCCTCTGCATAACTCTTCTGGGAAATATCTATTGAGGCATGATATATGGTCTTCAGGGGTTTGCAAAATACTTATCACCTATGTCCTATTTGCTAAAGAAAGAAACATTTCAATTGGTCCAATACCTGTCCAAGTTTTTGTAGAACAAAGATAAAAACAATGTACATATCCAATATCCAATATGCTCTGAAAATATTAAAAGCTAGTACAACAGATGTCAATTCCACCCTTTAACAGTAGATAAACCTTTCGACTTCTTACTAGTTGTGGTTCCTTACTTCTAAATCTCTATCTTGTGCCAACTAGACAACTAGAACATCAGCTTGTTGCAGATATACGTGAAAGCCTTCAGAAATCAATAAGTTAATATTGATTGTAAAAGGGCAACTAATAAAAATATTCATTTTAGATTAATTGGAATCCTGTAACA